TTACTATTATCTTTAAAAAACCCAAAGCCCAAAGCCCTTTCTCTAAGATTCAAAACAGGGGAGCTTTACACACATGCTTGTGAGTTGCTCTGTAAGTTCCCCCTCCTCTTGCCCACAAGCTCTTGTGGTCCCTCAAAGCCCTGTTCCTCACTGGCATTCCTGTGCACCAGAGCACTTCTCATTCTCTTTGGTTTTGTTGGGAATTGTCATTATCATCAAGGAGAGGAGTACAGTTACATGCTAGAATTCATTCTAAGCAAAGCCCTTGGTGTTCTTGCAGGAAAATGAGAAAGCATAGTGACATTGTGGATGTTGTTGTTGTTATGTGCCATGGAGTCACTTGCAACTTATAGGGACCCTATGTACAATGGCCCGGAAACTTGTTCTATCCTGAGCCAACCTTATTGTCTCTGACACCTCCCCTCATTACCCCAGTCACTGAATCAATCCATCTCATCAAAGATCTTCCTCTTTTTTGCTGTCCCTCTACCTTCCCAAGCATGACTTCCCTCTCCAAAGACTGGCTCCCTCTTTGCAACATGCCCAAAGTATGTCAGATGAAGCCTCAGAATCCTTGTCTCCAAGGAGCAGCCTGGTTTCACCCTCTCCTGGACAAACCTGTTTGCTCTCCTAGCAGTCCATAGTATATTCAATACTCTTCTCCAACACCACAGCTCAAAGGCACCAATTATCCTGCTATCATCCCTAGTCATTGTCTAGCTCTCTGAAGCATAGCATAGCTATGCTTGTATCAGGTGCACCATAGTTTCCAGACTGACATTGTTGTTCTTCAGTACTCTGGAGAGGTCTCTGACAGCACACTTTCCCAATGCAATTTGTCTTTTGATTTCCTGGCTGCTAGTACCAAGAGCGTTGATTGTGCAGCCAAGCAAATGAAAGCTAATAACAATTTCAATATATGAGGAAGAATAAAAAATGATCAACCTAACTTTTAGGTTTGAAAGAGAGAGAAGGTATGGTGAAGGTTCAGTTAGTCATTTTCTATATAGTTAGAGGCAAATCTTAAGTCACCCTATAACTATCAGGGTTAAAATAAGAAAATAAGTTCTATATCCCACAATATAAGTGCTCTAGTATTTGGGGATCAGAATGCATTTATTTCAATCACTTATATATTTCTATTTAATGATATTTAAAATCAAATTTTCGTTTTATACAATATCAGAAAGTGTTGAGGGTTTGGAGGGACTTTAAGAACAGCCAGTGCTCATCCTTCAAGGGAGACTTGCATGTCGCTATGCTACTGGACAAGTTCCAGTGGAGTTTCCAGACTAAGATGGACTGGGAAGTAAGGTCTGATGACCTACTTCTGAAAATTGGCACTTGAAAAGACTGTAGACTGAATGGTCCCGTTCTTTTGTTTTCAGGAGTAGTCATAAGTCAGGACAGGCTTGATAGCAAATAGCAACATTGAAGGTTCACTATTGTTGTTGTTATGTGCCATCAAGTTGCCTGTGACTCATAGTGCACCTAAGTACAATAGCTCTGAAGCCTGCCCTGTCCTGAGCCGGTCTCACTGACTCTGACACACCAACCCCTGTTGACCAAGTTACTGTATCAATCCATCTTATCTGGGGTTTTACTCTCCTGTGCTGTCCCTCCACCCTTCCAAGCACGATGTCCTCCTCCAAGGATTCTGGCCACATGCAAGACAGAGCTTCAAAATCCTAGACTCCAAGGAGAAACTTGGTTTCACCCTCTCCAAGACAGACCTATTTGTTTTCTTGGTGGTTCATGATTTCTTCAAGATTCTTCTCCAGCACCACGGCTCAAAGGCATCAATTCTTCTGTCATTCTTAGTCACTATCTAGCTTTCTGTTGCATAGCAACTAATTGCAAAGACCATGGCTTGGATCTCTAGACTGACATTGTTGTTTCTTAGTACTCTGAAGAGGTCCCTGAGAATATCTTTTCCCAATGTAGTTCGTCTTTTGATTTCCTGACTGCTGGTGCCAAGTATGTTAGTTGTGGAGCTGAGCAAGCTATAACTGTTAACAACCTTAATGTACTTTTTCTGTGTTTGATCTCTTATAATCTCCTTGAGAAGCACATGAGAAATACTGATAATGACAATCACTCACTCATGGCTGCTGTGTTGGACCTGACTTGTAGCTGACTCTCCAGTGGGTTTACAGAAGCTGTAAATTTCATGAGAGGAGACTTCCCATCTTCCTCCCGCAGAGCATCTGGTGGATTTAAACTGCCTGTCTTTGGGGTTGTCAACCCAGTTCTTTCCTCACTAGTCCTCAAGATCTCCTCATGATAATAATAGTTAGTGCTTATATAGTTTTACCAGTGCCAGGCATTATTCTGAACATTTTGTACATCTGTAGATAGATGTATTTTGTTGTTTATTATCGCATGGGAACTGACCCGTAGCTGACACTCCCTGGTGGTATAATAATTTAATCCTCACATCAGCTTTATGAGATAGATCCTACTATTCCTTCTTTCTAAATGAAGAGTCCATGAAACTATGTAAGTTGAGTAACATTCCTACCTAAACACATAACATATAAATAGTAGAATTCAGAACTCAAGCCTGGGCTCTCAAATGAATGCTTGGAATCTCTCCCTTGGTGGTGGTATCGTCATTTTACAGATAATGAAATTGAGCATTTCTCGGTGCTTGTAAATAACAGCACTGGAGTTTGAACCAGGTTCCAGAGTCCTTTCCCCACCTCTGAACACCTCCCCTAAAAGAGAAAGAAAGAAAATGCCTCCACTTTCAGGACTTCTTGAGTTTCAAAGGGATTGTAAGAATTTTGTGGTGACTTAAGAGGGAACCAATAGCTTCCTTATTTGTCTTCATGAGGATGACATTTCACGCATGTGGTTGGTTGGCCTGTGGAACGCCAGGCACTGGAGGAGGGTGGTAATCCCCATTGATGTGCGTTGTTTCTGCACGTACTAGCGGTATTGATGTCATTATTTATTATGTGCTGTTGACGTGGTTCCGGCTCACAATGATCCCATCTACAAAGGAACAAACCACTGCCAGTCCTGCACCCTCCTTACAGTCACCACTATGTTTAGCACCCTGGGGTAGCCACTCTGTCAGCCCAACATGGAAAGCCTTCCTTTTTTAAAGAAGGGACTTTCTACTTTATTAAACAAGATAACCTTTCTGCAGGAACAAGTGCTTCCTGAGGGATGACGTGCTGAAAGAGTGACAGTGAGATCCCCCACCCGCTGAGAAGAGAGATGAAAAATGGTCTTCTCTTCTGGGATCGGGCATAGATCTGACCAAGGAGCCACAGAAAAGAATGGTGGCATTTGTGGGGCATGCAGTACAGTTCCCGAACCACCTTTCTACATGTTGTGAGGAGACACTGGCAGACCTTTCTCTTTGAATCCAACAAATTGAAGCAACTCTCAATATTTTAGCTGCAAAGTTGTCTTTTATTCTGGGACTAGCTGCTGTCATATTTGAAGTATCTCCTATAAGTAATAGGGTCAAGAATGGATTGCAATCAGAAACCACTTCTGTTTAATCACAGAAAAAGACTGGAAACCCAGAAAAGTGAGGTTGCAGCATAAAAGATCTTAACTGTAGCTAAGGATCCATGATATGCCAGGTATCTCAGAATGGTTCAAGTGGGTCTGCCAGGGTAGGCAATAAGAAATAAAATTATGTCAGAAGGTCTAGACCTAGATCTTTCTGAGCGACCAGATGCTGCAGTGTCTCATGGTGAAACTGAAGGAAAGTTCAGATAGTGCATATTCTTGTAGTGACTAAACTTAATTTTGATAAGAATTTCATAGATGTGTATAGGTGTATATTAGATCCTATAAGATAAAGAACGCAAACTAAAATTCTTAGGCATAAAAATATCAAATGACTATATACTCACCAACAAGCTTCCTTTATGTCAAAAATGAAAACACATAAATCCTGGGGCAGAGGAAGTGAGAATGAAGTCCGCATCTGAAAGGAGAATTGTAGCTGTACTCACATTTGCTCATTCTTCGGAGGTCTATAATATATTCCACATTTTGCCAGCACCGTAATTTAATGCATTGTCTAGCTTTCACATGCACATGAGGCAGCTGAAAATACCACAGCGTGGGTAAGGTGGGTGGTACTTCAGTCATCAGGGTGACATCTTTGCTTTTTTAAGATTTCAAAGAGGCGTTTTGTAGTAGACTTGCCAACTGTAGTACATAGTTTGATGTCTTGACTTCTGCCTATCCAGATTGCAAAAGAACAACGATGTCAGTGTAGAGACTAAGGTGTGCCTAATTGAGGCCATGGTCTTCTCAGTTGCTTGGTACACATCTGAAAGCTGGACAGTGAATAAGGATGATAGAAGAAGGAAAAATGTCTTCAGGTTGTGGTGCTGGAGAAGAGTACCAAGTAAATGATGAACTTTCAAAAGAACAAATAGGTCTGTCCTGGAGAGGGTGAAATCAGGTTGCTTCTTGGAGGCAAGGATTTTGAAACTCCGTCTTACTACTTTGGGCATGTTGCCAAAAGGGACCAGCCCTTGGAGGGGTACACTGTGCTTGAAAGGGTGGAGGGACAGCACTGTAGAGGAAGACCCTAGATGAGATGGTTGGGCAGGGACTGTGGTGAGGGGGTTAGGTGTGTCAGAGATGGTGAGGTTGGCTCAGGACGGGCCAAAGTTCAGGGCTGATGTTCTTAGGGTCACTGTGAGGAGTCGTATTGATGGTGCATAACAACAATAAACAACTTGCATAGGTGTGCTGATTTCAGCCTTAGGAGTGGGAGAGTGGCAAGGCTCACCCTTGACGTCCTTTGCCTTCACTGTGGGCATGTGATGCTCCACCAACATGCTTATCTTCCTTCATACATGAGCCAGTGTGCTTCTTCAGTCTCACGGTGGGAGAGCTCGGACCTTGTTACCCCCTTTTCTCAGTGTGGGTGTTTGCAGCAAGGCTGGAGTGCCGTGGAGGCTGCGATGAGAGCTCCACGAGTGTCTTCCTTCCCTAATCTCTGTTACGCTTTGTTTTTACAGCGTGGAGGCTGCCAGCATCGGGTTCGTCATTGTTATCGACAGACGAAGGGACAAGTGGAGCTCCATAAAGGCGTCCTTGACACGAATTGCTGTAAATATGTATTTTTGTGCTATACGTAAAAAGTCATTTAAACAGTCACTTCAGCCATTTCGTGTCAATTTCCATAAGGAAAAGACAATTATTGTGTGCTAAGGTTTGGGAAGATATTGGCAGATGCTGGCGTTTCTCATCCACATCCCCCTCTGCCATCTAACCATCACCTGTAGACAGTGCTGAGCATGTCAAGGCCTCTTGAGTCATCTCCGCCTTACTGATCTCTGGTCAATAAGAAGGGCAGGCAGAGCGTGCTGGGAGGTCAATGCCCCAGAAGTAACCTTTGAATTATGGGAGTTAGTGGATACATACCCTTATGTCTGTGTCTCTCAGTGGACAACTCTGAGGTATATTCCACACAGTATCTCAGAGATTCTCAGCCCCTTTTACCTGTAGCTGTTGTTGTTAGGTGCTGTAGAGACAAATACAACTCATAACGGCCCTATGAACAACAGATCTGAACCCCGTCCTATCCTGTGACATCCTGATGTTTCCTGACACACTAGCACCCATTGCAGCAGTCACTGTGTCAATCCACCTGGTTGAGGGTCTTCCTCTCCTTTACTGACCTTCCCCCCTGCTAGGTATCATGTCCCTCCCCAAGGAATAGCTTCTCCTAGCAACATGCCCAAAGAAGTATCCAATATATTAGCTCTGTAGCTATCATAGTCCTACCTCTGTTGGTGATACTAATTACTCTGCTTTTAGAACCACCTTCTCCCCCAAAATAAATACATATACCCACATTCTTGTCTTAGGGTTTGCTTTGGAGATAATCCAATTTTAAACAGCCCATGTCTCACTATTGAAAATAGAACAGTTTGGACAAGGTTGTACTTCAGTCCACAAGGGGCTATCTTTGCTTTTTAGATCTTTAAAGAGATCTTTGGCAGCAGACATGCTGTATTATTTGATTTCTTCACTGCTACTTCTGTGGAAGCTTGGATTCAGAAGATTTAAAAGAGGCTATCGTCACTGATGATGTTAGATGGATCCAGGCTGAAAGCAGAGAATACCAGAAGAATGTCTACTTGTGCTTTATTGACTATACAAAGGCATTTGCCTGTGTGGATCATAGAAAATTATAACTAACATTGAGAAGAATAAGAATCCCAGAGCACTTAATTGTGCTCATATGAAATGTATACTTAGACTAAGAGACTGTTGTGGAAATACTGCATGGTTTAAAATTAAGAAAGGTGTGCGTCAGGATTGTATCCTAACTCCATATCTATTTAATTTATATACTGAACACAGTATTTGAGAAGCTGGACTCTGAAAAATATGACATCAGGATCAGAGAAGATTCATAAAGCCTATGTTATGCAGATAGTACAACTTTGCTTGCTTGCTGGAACTAAGAAGGACTTGAGCACTTGCTACTGAAGATCAAAGAATATAGCCTTCAGTATAGATTGCATCTCAAAGTCAAGAAAGCAAAAATTCTCACCCCTAGATCAAGAGGCAACATCATGATAGATGGAGAAAAGATTGACAAATGACTTCAGCTTACTTGGATCAATGATCAACGCCCATGGTACCAGCAGTCAGGAGATCAGGAGATGTACTGCATTGGGAATATTTGCAGTCAGGAACCTCTGCAGATTATTGAGGAGCCGTGATGTCAGTTTGAGGACTAAGGTGTGCATGATTCAGGCCATAATCTTTTCAATCACTTGCTACGCATTTGAAAGCTGGAGAATAAATAAGAATGACAGCCAGATTGACTCCTTCGAGCTGTGGTGTTGGAGAAGAGTACTGAATATCCCATGGACTTCCAAAAGAACAAACAAATCTGTCTTGCAGAAGGAGCAGCCAGAGTGCTTGGAGGCAAAGATAGCAAAGCTTCATCTCATATACTTTGGGTATGTTGCTAGGAGAGATTATGCCTTGGAGAAGAGACTTTGTGCTTGGAAAGATGGAAGGAAGGGAAAAGCTCTTAGCCTGGTGGATTGATGCAGTAGCTGCAGCAGTGGGCTCAAGTGTGTCAGAGATACTGGAGATGCCACAGAATCGGTCACAGTTCTGATCTGTTGTCCATACAGTCACTATGAGTTTTGCCCAACTTGATGATACATAACAACTAACAGCATGTCTCAGTATTCAGATAATCTCACATACTAGATGAATGGTGCTGAAATGAAATGAAACATATTTCACTTGCTTGATTCAAGGTCTGATGGTGTAGTCCCTCGGGGTTTTGCTGCTGCTTCAAAGACCGTGACTCTCCAGTGGTTCAAATCCCCCAGAACCTCGGAGGGAGAATGATGGGAAGTCTCTTATCCCACATGATTTAGGTTGAAAACCCAACGGAAGGTCAGCTGTGAGACAGTTATGACTCCATCATAACGGATTTGCTTTCAGCAATAAAATGTGCAGCCTTGTGCAGTGTTCCACCCCCCCCCCCATCTTGTTAGTCTGCTTTTGGTCTCTGGACTCTGCATTTTGGCAGGTAGACACACAGTTCTGAGTCTTAGACCTGTGAACATGGCCACTTGGGCAGGCTGCGCTGCCTCAGGCCATCACACCTGCAGGAAGTAGGTTCTGGTTGAAGAATGAAGAGTGGGACGTGGTGAATCTATGCAGGGGCTTAGGACCAAAGAAAGGACATTTGAAATCTTGCACTCGTTTACAGAAAAAGTTGCAGATATAGTCATGCATATACAATTTCTCTCAGATGACTTTTGGGACTCATTCTGATCCTTAAACAATGTCTCCACTCATTTATTTTGCCATGACATAACAAAAATGCAAGGTTCAACTCAGCTATTGGGAATAGTAATTTCCCCAGGGAAATTAGAACTGAGACACAAACAGAGATCTGTACACCAATATTCATAGCAGCATTATACACCATCACAGGAACATGGAAACAGCCCAAATGCCCAGCCACAACCAAATGGATTGAGAAATTGTGGTACATTTACATTTAATGGAAAACTATGGCAGCGCTCAGGAGCAATGATTTTGAACATACTACAGAACTTGGGAGAGACTGGATGGAGAGCATTATGCTGAGTGAAATCAGTCTCATAAGGATGAATACTAAAAATAGAAGGGTAACTGGTAAAACATGTATGGGAACCCAAGGGGGTAGGGAGTAGGAGCAGAGGGGTGAGGATGGGTAGGGGCGAAACCACAGGGTTGCAAATTTTGGTGGGTAAAGGGAGGGCGTGAAGGAAATGAGAACAATCTGGTGGGGACCTGAAAAGATAAGGTAATGATGGGCAAGGTCCATGGTGGTTAATTTTAGAAAACATAGTGCATAGGAATGCTTGTATGAACCACAATATGAGTGGAGTAGTGTGAAATACAATGTATACAAACTTTGTAAGCAAACCAGTGTTGTTGTTATGTGCCATCGAGTCTCGTGTGATCCTATATACAATAGTCCTGAATGAAACCTGCTCTATCTGTGCCAACCTTACTGTCTCTGATACACCTACCCTCATTACTCCAGTCACTGAATCAATTCATCTCATCGAGGGTTTTCATTTCCTGTGCTGTCCCTCCACCCTCCCAAGCATGATGTCCCTCTCTAATGACTGGTCCCTCCTTGCAACATGCCCAAATTATGTCAGATGAAGCTTCAGAATCCTTGTCTCCAAGGAGCAGCCTGGTTTCACCCTCTCTAGGCTGAACCTATACTTGTTCTCCTAGCAGTCCATGATATATTCAACACTCTTCTTGAGCACCACAGCTCAAAGGCATCAATTCTCTATCCCTAGTCATCATCCAGCTTTCTGACACATAAAAAGCAATTACAAAGACTATGGCCTGGATCAGATGCACCTAAGACTCCAGACAGCAAACCAATATAAAATTGAAATAAGAAATGAGACCGAGAAAAAAAAATTGGAAGGCTCTTCTCATTACCCATTGTCTTCTAGTTGGAACCAACTCATAGCTGGGCTGACCCTTCATTGGGTTTCTGGGACTGATCTTTGTCCAGAAGCGCTACTGGTAGATCCAAACCACTAGGGAGGTGGGCCTGAGTTCCAGCGTAAGTCTCTACCAACTAGCTTCATTCCAAAGGCAGAAAGAGGTGGACCCCTTTCCTGTTGGGCATGTATGGCTTTGTCCCTTTTGTTTAGTTGTGGTTAGATGAGTTGTGATTGGGAAAACTGCAGCCCTGTAGATCAGATACCTGATTGGACAGTGCCCATGGGTCCGGGCACTCCAGAGGTCTGGCCTGTGGAGAGCTCTGGTTGCCCAGAGCTCAGAGATGCCAGAATGATCTTATTTCTTCTGAGTAATTTTTCCCAGAATTTCACTTATTATTTTTGTGGCTAAAGATTCTGCACTGCATTGTTGTGGTGTTGTCGTTGACAGGTGCAATTAAGCTGGTCCTGACTTGTGGCAGCCCTCGGTTATTGTTGTGTGCTAGTAAGTCAGAACAGACCAAGACCAGTGGGTTTTCAGAGACTGAAAATTGCCTGAGAAGAGATTTCCCATCTTCCTCCCAAGGAGTAGCTGGTGGATTCGAGCAGTGTGTTTTTGGGTTGACAGTGTAGCTCCCACCACTCAACCACCAGTGCTGCCTTTATCCTTCAGTGGGGTTTGCTTACTGAGAAATACAGATATCTAGACTTCACCCGAGTGCTAATCAAGATTTTACAGGGTGGGGACCAGATTATTAACAAGAACCTCAGGAAGTTCGTTTGGGGAAGCTGCTGGACCACCGGAAAGCTCGGATGGTGAAAGAGTTGGGTTTCAGTTGTTGCCATCAAGTAGTTATACAGATTTGGGGATTATCTCAGTTCTCAGGGCCTTACCCCGAGATGAGGGCAGTACTTCTTGAGAGCCACTTGGCCCTGGAAGAGTAGTGTAGGGATGTTAATGACAAGGTCAGTGATTCAAAGCCTCCAGTCACTCTGTGGAAGAAAGATGCACAGGCTCCTTTGGTAATGATTTACAGTCTTGGAAACTCAGTGGAGGGAGAGTCTCTGTGAGTCAGAATCAACTTGATGGCAAAGAGTTGGGGTGTCAGGAGGGCCTATTTATTTGACTCAATAATTCTAGAATTTTATCTCCAGAAAATGTTCCAATATGTGGATAAATATGTTCATTTCAGTATTATTTATAATCAAGGAGTCCCAGACTTATGGTAGAATTCTGTTCTGACAACTTAGTCCCAAGTTGGTACTGATACAAGTCAGATACCTAACTATGTTTTGTTTTATTTCTTTGTCATTAATACTGTCTTTTATTATCAGTATCACTATAAATCTGATTTTTATGTATCTTTAGGGGTCGAAAACATATATATATATATGAAACTGTGGCACTGGGGACAACATTGCCAATGTAAGATGGATCTTGGCTGAAAGCAGAGAGTATCAGAGGAATGTCTATCTGTGTTTCATTGACTTTGCAAAGGCATTTGACTATGTGGATCACAACAAACTGTGGCTGACTTTAAGGAAAAATGGGAATCACAGAACTTGATTGTGCTCATGTGAAACTTATACTTGGACCAGAAGGCAATCATCATAACAGAGCAAGAAAACACTGCACAGTTCAAAAATCAGTAAAGGAGTTCATCAGGGATACATCTTTCATACCTTTCAATCTAGATGTAGAACAGATCATTTGAGAGGCTGAACTTTATGAGGAGTGTGGCATCAGGATTGGAGGAAGTCTCAACAACAACCTACGCTATGCAAATGACACAACCTTACTTGCTGAAACTGAGGCGGGCCTGAAGCTGCAGAGGGTCGAGAACTGTAGTCTGCAATATAGATTACAGCTCAACATCAAGAAAACAAAGATTCTCCCCACTGGGCCAATAGGTAGCATCATGATAGATGGAAAAGAGATTGAAATTGTTAACAATTTCAGCTTATTTGGTTCCACAGTCAACACTCTTGGCACCAGCAGTCAGGAATAAAAAGACAAATTGGATTGGGAAAATCTAGAGTGCTGAAGAGCAAGGATGTCAGTCTAGAGACTAATTAATAATGAGCACTGGATCCATGCTATAGTACTTGCTATTCATCAGCGAGCTGGACAATGACCAAAGAGGACAGCAGAATTGATGCCTTTGAGCTGTAGTGCTGGAGATGAGTATTGATACACCATACATTGCCAGGAGAACTAACAGGTCTCTCCTAGAAAAGGTGAAGCTACACTGCTCCTTGGAGGCAAGGGTTTTGAGTCTCTATCTCACACGTTTTGAGCAGGTAACCAGGAGAGACCAGTCTTTGGAGAAGGGTATCATGCTTGGAAGGGTCGAGGGACAGCTCAGAAGGAGAAGAAAGAACCCGGATGAGATGGATTGACATAATAACTGGAGTAGTGAGAGTAGGTGTATATCAGAGACGGTGAGATTGGCTCAGGATAGAGCAGGATATGCATATGGTCACTATGAGTCATAGTCAACTCGACACACAACAGCACCACCAACAAAGGTATATATTTAATGCAGACATAAAAATATACACAAAAATACAAATACTCAGAATTTACTACCACTAAGAAGAGTTGGACAACATTGACATCTTGTCAGCTGAAGTAATAGCTCCACTGGTAAAAGATTTTAGATAATGTAGTATTATTCCTAGGAATTGGGATGGCATATCTAATAAAACAAATTAGTGAACATTGTCTGTGAAATCCTTTTCTTTTTTGATTCGTATCTTGCATGGTGTCAGCTCACTACTTCCCAGCTCTATATGTTGACTTTAGCAAAGCTATCAGCATTGGGGTCCATGTTTTGAAGCAACAGAAGCCCCTGATTTAGTTTAGAAAATGAAATCTGTACAGCAATGTTTTGAACAGCAAATCATAAAAAGGAACACTTGTGGACAAATATCTGAGAATGATAACATCAACAAATTACTCACTGCAAAACTGTGTGCAGAAAGTATTACTGATGATAAGATCTACATTATTGTTACCTGCCTTCGAGTTGTGTATGACTCATATGCACAAAATAGGAGTCAGCATATGTACAACAGCTCTAAACCCTGCTCTATCCTGAGCCAACCTCATTACCTCTGACACACCTACGCCCATTACCCCAGTCACTGAGTCAATCCATCTCATCTGAGGTCTTCCTCTCCTGCGCTGTCCCTCCACCCTTCCAAACATGATGTCCTTCTTCAGGTACTGGTCCCTCCTGGCAACATGCCCAAAGTATGTGACACAGAGCTTCAATATCCATTCCTCAAAAGAGCAGCTTGGTTTCACCCTCTCCAGTTATACAATTTTAAATCCTCAGTTTTAAAATCTTCAAGTTTAAAAGTTCAGGTGGTTCATAATCCTGTAGTAAAAATATGGAAGAACATAAGGAATTGGTTCAATAGATTGCAACCTGTGAAAAAAGAATGTTTCTGCAGAATTCTACTAACATGAATAAAGGCTCTTGCTGTAATATTAAGTGAAAAAGTAAGTTATAAAATATTTCTGTGGTACATTCTTATCATTAAATAGCCCAACAGTAAATAAATGGAAATACGAAATGTGATTATAAAATCATGAATAGTTTTCTTTTCCAAGGGTGTGTTTCTATTAATTTCCAACATGTTCTGTAAATAGTATGAATTCTTTTTAAAGTCAGAAAGAGCAATGTTTCTTGTTTGCTTAGTTGTTGTGGTTTGATTTTCTTTTTCTTTAAGGAAAAGGATTGGATTATCTGTAGGAGCTTTGGTGGCACATAATGAATTAAGCTGCTAACTAAACGGTCAGCAGTTCAAATTAGACCAGCTGATCTTTGGTAAAGAGATGGGCAGTCTGGGTAGTTTATTCCTGTAAGGACCCATAGCCTCAGAACCTGATAGAGGATCACTCTGGGTCAGAATCCACTTCGCTGAGAGTAGGTTTGTTTTAGTTTGATCTCCAAGGTGCCTTCAGTTCTGACATCCTGTGCAATCCATTCTTGCCATCCATGTCATCCACTTTGAATTTTTCATTTGGGCTCCTTGGTAAGAAACGGCCTACATAGCTCTTGGAATGAATATCTGTTTTTCCCCCCTTGACACTTTTCATATTCCTTCTAGGTAGCATTTCCAGGAAACTTGCAGCTCATATTCATCCTTCGTCCGTCTCATTTTATCCAGAGAGCCTTCACAGACATCGGCATTAAGTACTACCGGGAGGAATTTAAAATGAAGGTGCCGGTAAGCATGAGCTGCGCTTGGTCGTTACTGGGGCAAGGCCTGTCTCTTGTCTCTTCTTCTTCCTTCCCTCACTTCCTTTCTCTCTCCACCTCTCCCCTTCTCTCATTTCTTCCTTTTCCTCTGGTTTTCAGTTAACAGATAAATATTTATGGCACAGTGGATTACATGTTGCATTACTAACCAAAAGGTCAACAGTTTGAATCCACCATCCACTCAGAGGGAGAAAGTTGAACATCTTTCCTCTGTAAAGATTTACAGTCCCAGAAAAGTAGTGAAGGGTGAAACAGAACCAACTCAAAGGCAGTGGCTTTGGGTATGGATCATGTGCATAATAGCAAGCTAACTGTGGTCAATCATATAGGACCTTATAAAATGTGTCTCCTCAGAAACTAGCAGAGTGCTTGATGCACACACACACATGGATATTCACATATGACATTTATTTTTATTATGGAAAAGTCTAAGCAATTCATATCTCAAAGGGATTTGTGTTTGCTCCCACCTTCAAGCAATTTAAACTCAAGGCCAATCTCGATTCACCTCATACATGGTCTCCATCTCTCACGTCATATTGAAGCAAATGCCAAGCATTGGATAATCCCAGTTGAAATATTTGTTTAAAAGGAAAAAAGTTCACATATTAACAATAAATATCTCACAGGGACCATCTAGTTATTTATTTATATTATTTATTAATAATTGCTGACAAGAGTTACTGTTTCACTGACTTACTAATAATGATTAATTTAAAATTTTTACTTAATAAGAAGTAATTAACCATTTTTTTAAAATAATGATTTCAAGATGTTATGAAATACAGACATATTCAAATTTTGTCCAGCTGGTTAGTAAAATTTCAATAGTTTGTTGGCATTAAGATGTGGAACGGGTCCTTAGATGACAGTTTGTTGATGTGTCTCATGTTGTTTTTAGGGGCTATCAAATTGGCTCCACTCCCAGCTCCTGTACATACAGCAGAAACCTGAGGGACCGTGTTCCGCCCTCACCACCTCTGACGTGCTTGAGTGTCTTGTTATATTCACTATGTTGTCATCATATATGTCTCATTGATCTCTTTTAGTCTGTAGGTTTCTTCTCCATTCTAATCTTCCTTGTAATTTTTTTCACCCCTAAAGAAACCCAGTCACTTGCCTTTTGAAATTACTCAGACTAGATTTTGCTGATGTCTTCCCATTGTTGTTGAGGAACATTGAGTCAGAACTGATGCATAGCTGACCCTCTAGTGGGTTTTCAGAGGCAGTAAATCACATGGGAGGAGATTGTCCATCTTTCTCCCATGGAGTGGCTGATGGATTCAAACCACGTGCCTTTGGGGTAGCAACAGATTTCCTTATCTCTAAGCCATAGGAGATCCTTGATGTTGTCCTAGGGGTATCATTTACTGTATTTCCCCACTCCATGTATATTCTGTAAATGAATTGCTGAATCTAAAGGTTTATATTATTTTTTTTTCTGTACTGCTTCATAAATGGTGGTGTAGATTTCTAAATTTTCTTTCTTTTTTGTAATATCAGCAGTTGCTTAGTAATCATTGCCTAACTCTGTTCATTCACTGGAGGTTGTAAGTAATGATATTCTAATTCTTTAATTTCTGCGTTATTTATTAGTTGGAATAATTTTAAGAATATATGCTTTAACATTTGGTTATCCTGAAGGATAGCTCATTTGAATGAATATTTTTTCCCTAATTATTCATTTGGGAAAAACATAGTAAATGTTTATTTTTGCTTTCCTTACAAGTTTTCAGAATAATGAGTGAGTTATGTAATGTCACCCACAGTGATTAATGATTTGTTTCCACTTTTCATTACAGACTATGGATTTGCCTATTTGTGAAGTATTTCAGTCCATTGTTGTCATTATTCCTTTGCCCAGTTTGAGCTCCTTCAAGAAATCATGTCTTCTCTGAGCCTTGTTCCTTTGGGAAGAAATGATGTTAGCTATCACAATCTGGGTGCTACATGTCCTTATTTCTACGGAAATGACCACTGTTTCCTAGTCTTTTTAGCAGACAGTTGTTGTTATTGTTATTTGCCGTAGAGTTGCCTGTGACTCATAGCAGTCCTATGCACAACAGCCCTACACCCTGCTCTATTCTATGGCAATCTTATTGTCTCCAACACACCTACCCCGATTAACCCAGTCACTGAATCAATCCATCTCATCAAGGGTCTGTCTGCCTCTCCTGTGCTGTCTCTCCACCCTCCCAAGCATGATGTCCCTCTCCAAGGACTGGTCCCTCCTTGCAACATTTCCCAAGTATGTCAGATGAAGCTTCAGAATCCTTGCCTCCAAGGAGCAGCTTGGCTTCATCCTCCCCAGGACGAACTTGTTTGTTCTCCCGGCAGTTCATGGTATATTCAATACTCTTCTCCAACACCACAGCTCAAAGACATCAGTTCTCTTTCTATCATCCCTAGTCACTGTTCAGATCTTATATACACTTTGTAAAGCAAAATAAATCTTGAGTTCATATTGACATTTCCTACTCATAGTCAAAATTGTTGTTGTTATGTGCCATCGAGTCGCTTGTGACTCATAGTGACACTATGTACAACAGCCCTAAACCCTGCTCTATCCTGTGGCAATCACACTGCCTCTGACACACCCATCCCGATTACCCCAGTCACTGAATCAGTCCACCTCATAGAGGGCCTTCCCCTCTTGCGCCGTCCCTCCACCCTCCCAAGCATGATGTCCCTCTCCAAGGACCTGTTCCTCCTTACAACATGTCTAAAGTATGTCAGACAAAGCCCCAGAATCCTTGCCTCCAAGGAGCAGCCAGGTTTAACCCTCTCCAGGATGAATCTGTTTTCTTGGCAGTCCATGGTACATTCAATACTCTTCTCTAGCAACACAGTTCAAAGGCATCAATTCTTTTTCTATCCTTCCTAGTCATTGTCCAACTCTCTGATGCATAACAAGTGATTTTGAAGACCATTGCCTGTATCAGATGTGCCTTAGTCTCCAGGGTGACACCATTGCTCTTCAGTACTTTGGAGAGGTCCCTAACAGCAGACTTTCCCATGGCAATACACTTTTTAATTTCCTGGCTACTGGTGCCAAGAGTGTTGACCGTGGAGCCAACCAGACTAAAGTTGTTAACAGTCTCAATCTCTTCACCATCCATCCTGATTGCTGCCAATTGGTCCATTGGTGAGAATCTTTGTCTTCTTGACATTGAGCCTCAATCCATACTGAAGGCTGCAGTCCTTGATCCTCTGCAGCAAGCATTTCAGGTCCTCCTCAGTTTCAGCAAGCAGGACTGTGTCATCTGCATAACGCAGATTGTTAATAGATCTTCCACCAATCCTGATGCCACACTTCTCCTCATAGAGCCCAGCCTCTCTGATAATCTGCTCTGCATACAGGTTGAAAAGGTATGGAGATAGGACACATCCCTGGCGTACATCCTTCCCAGTTTTGAAACATGCAGTGTTCCCTTGCTCTGTTCTGACAACTGCCTCTTGGTCCAAGTATAGGTTTCTCATTAGCATGCTCAAGTGTTCTGGGATTCCCATTCTTCTCAGAGTTAGCCACAGTTTGTTATGATCCACACAGTCAAATGCCTTTGCATAATCAATGAAATACAGATAGACATTCTTCTGATATTCCCTGCTTTCAGCTAAGATCCATTTAACATCAGCTAGTTTTTACTTAATTTCCTTCATTTTACATTGTATCTTTTATCACAAACAGAAAAGAAATGTCAGTTCTTAATGATAGTAATCCACTGCCATTGAGTTGATTCCAACTAATGACAACATTCCATTGGGTTTCCAAGGCTGTAGATCTCAATGGAATGTGTTTTAACCACTGTCTTTGTTACTTTCATCACATATTTGGAATGTACTGTGCAAATAAGGTGTGATCAAGCTCACAGGTGGAAAATAGGGGCAAGCTTGAGATCTGCTCCTGACAGACAACCTTGAAAACCCTGTGTAGCAGCTCTGTTCTGTACACACGGGGTTGCCCACAGCCAGAAGCAACCAGCTCTCTTATGCCCACTTTCCCCTCTCATTTCTCATCAGATAATGACCCTGTTTCACAACTTGTGGGGGAAAGGAGTTCCTTTTTTCTTATAAAAGACAAGTAGGGAAAGGATGAAATCGTAGTCAAGTGATTTAGCTAGTCTGTCACTTGACCTTGCAGGTGGTATTTAGACACTGCATATGCTTTCCGCGTGTCTGCTCCTGGCCAGACGTTTTAGATTGGGAAACATCTGTACTCATATCTGATTCACAGAGCCACTTTGTGAAATGTCTAGTGCCTTGTGCAAAAATTTCTAAAGAGGCTATGATACATGTACCCTGTAGTTTTGGTAGGTTTTTAAATTAAACCTTGTGATATAATAGGAAACCCTTCTTTCACAATTAAAAGATCTTCGATCTTTTTTTGGGGTGGGAAAGCCTTAAGCAATTAAAGAGAAAGACATAAAAGTGTCCTGCAAAAGATAAACAACATGCTCTTAATCTGTAACAATTATTTTAATGTATATATTGTCAGTGTGTTGCTCAACAGAATTAACTTGCTTTTCAGTTTTTTATATGAGATTACATTATAAAAATTAAATTTATTTATTCTCTAGTTTTACCATTTATTTATTTGCCATTAGTCATTAGTAGCGTTGCTATTTATGTATTATCTCTTAGCCCTCAAATGATGATTTTCTTTCTCCATATGAATCTTTCTTTAGCTTTGCAGAATGTTGTGTACTACTTAGCTCTGGTGGCTTAAGTGGTAAGAAATTGCACTTTAATCCTAAAGGCATGTGGTTTGAATCCACCTGTTGTTCTGTGGGAAAAGAATGGACAATCTCCCCTTGTGTGATAACTGTCTCTGAAAACCTATGGGTCATTCTGACTTGAAAGTGAACAACGGCAATTTCATAATAGTAGTCTTAGATAATATTTGTCCTTTCATGATTGACTTGACCCAGTAGAATGTTCTCTAGCTGCATCTATGCTAAACAGTGATTA